ATTTATTGTATTTTATTTATGAATGAAAATATTTCTGTAGAATTTTGGAGTCTTTGTTTTTATCCTTGTGGTATCGAAAATGGTATCGAGTATCGAGTATTTTCCTTAGTATCGGTATCGAGTTGAAAAGTTTAGTATCGTGACAACCCTAATATATATATATATATCAGAACAGAGAGCGTAATTTATATAGTCTTATTTAAATAAAATCAATAACAAGGATATCAGGTTTTTCAAGAATAAGAAATAAATTCTGCTGCAAAATTGTAATTCGTGCTAAATCCTTGCCATCAAAGTTCTTTATTGAGCACTACTTTTAGGCCTGAGTTTTCTCTTTTGAGTGTTCTTGTTTGTTTAAATTTTAAAAAGGAGATGTTTTAATTTCGCCATATTAGTTTCATGGCTAAATGATGGCTATGACTAAAGTCAGCAATGGCAGCTCGGTGGGTGGTTATAAAAGAATGCTCTTTTTTTATACGTCTCACAGAAAAATTAAATGAAAAAACCCAAATGGTTTGTTTTAAGGATTCTAATTACTAAATTAAAACATAAGATTTATGAGCACAATTTGCTTAAGATTTAACTTTTGGGCATGAGCAGAAGATGACTAGAAAAGCAGAGAAGATAGACAAATGTATGGCTGCACACATGGCTCCAACATCAATATCAACCTTTGAATTTTTTCCAATGTAATTTACACACAAGCTCAGAGTATTCATATATTACCCAATTTCATTTAATAAACTAATTATATTGAGTTGATATATTTGACACATAAAAGCCGAACCTTAAATTGGTGCAACTTTTTGATTTGCTAAGGTTTCAAGATGCTGAAAGGATCTCAGGTTACATTTGAAGTCTCAGAAAGACTCCACTTGGCACTACTTCTTTGTTAACCCACTAACATGCTAGCTTATCCTGAAGGAAGAGTTATAGCGTGTAAGAGAGAGCGCGATGTGAAACCTTATAACCCCCGGCTTCAGCTAATGCAATTGAGCTGCTATTCTTGGGTTGAGGAGGCCCAGCTACTGAGATAAACAACATAATGAAAAGAACAGGCTGTTCTGGAGTAAGAAGGATCAGGCTCCTTTAATGAACATTAAACGTATTATATATAGTGAGTTTTCATGTGTGGTTGACACACTTCTCTGATTTCTTTACAATCCCTCAACACGGTGAAAATTCTTTGTCATTATAACACAAATACAAACAGTAAATATTATTATGACCTCTAAGAAATTATATCTTCAACTTGTTCTAAATGCAGCTATGAAAGAAGGTTGTGGATCTGTTTAAGTTAAAAACCATGGCTGTCCAAAGAAAATATGGAGTTGGTATAATCTGCCAACCTTTTGAGTTGACTCAATGGGTTTATTGACAAGTACTGTTGTTAGTGCGGCAGTCTTTAAAAGCAAATGTGAAGCTCCTCTGTTACTGTTTTAGTAGTAGGATATAAATTTAGGAAAAATGGGTTTGATTATTACTTGTGTCTCAGCTTTAGATATTATACACAAAACACTAGGATGGACCGAATGATTGGCCCTGATTTCCTTAATTTTGGGTGATCAGCAGATACTTAGATGTGAAACTCGTCTTATCCACTGATACTGTCTATCACCGAAAAGGTCTGAAAATCAGCCAATGCTCTTAACATTAAGTTTGTGAGCATGATGTCATGTGCCATTTGGATAAGTTTTTATTTTTTGAAAAGTGTTGTTTTATAAAATATATATAGAAAAAAAAAATTAAGATTTATATTCTGACCTTATAACAACCGAAAGTGTTATTGCTTAAAAAAAACAAAAACAAACATATATCAGCCCAGACTGGAGTTGGCAGATCTTGTATTTTAAAGATCGCTGATTGGTGATCGACTAGAAAACTGCAAAACACCATTAAAGGAGCATAAACACTCCGTTATTTATATGTTTGATGTAAAAACAGATTCAATTAATTGCTTTCTTAATTAATTGAATTATATTTTTTTATGTCTGAAGTCTGAGGTAAAGCTAAGAAAGAAAATCCCCAGGAATTTCATGCATTTGAACATTTTTATTAAAAAAAAAAAAGTCCAGATATTACTTCATAACCTGTTTTTTATTCTTTTCAGCTCAAATAGAAGTTATTCCCTGTAAAATCTGCGGAGACAAATCATCAGGCATTCACTATGGTGTTATCACCTGCGAAGGCTGCAAGGTGAGCTTACGAGCTATTTTAATAAGAATATAACTGTGAATGAAAGAGAGTAATCAAGCAAATCTACCCAGAGTATCTAATTGTTGTGGTCAGTCATTACTACATTCAGTAGATAACTTCTGTTGTTTTAAATTGTGTTATTTTGCAGGGTTTCTTTCGACGTAGCCAGCAAAACAACGCCATGTATTCCTGTTCAAGACAAAGAAACTGCCTGATTGACCGGACCAACCGTAACCGCTGTCAGCACTGCCGGCTGCAGAAGTGTCTTGCTCTTGGCATGAGTCGCGATGGTGAGTTCATAGCCTCAATCACCACTGCGTGCTAGGGCTGGGTGATATGGCCTTAAAATCTTATCACGATAGTTTGTGTTATAAAGGATATGTATAGAGAATGTACATAAAAAATATGATAAATTGTTTCATCTCTATGCTTTTTCTCTCCAGCTGTGAAATTTGGTCGCATGTCCAAAAAGCAAAGGGACAGCCTGTATGCAGAGGTCCAGAAACACCAGCAGTCACAAGAGAGCTCGGGGGTTGGTGCCCGAGAAGAGCATGGCGACCTGGCAGAACATGGCCGCACCTACAGAAGAGGCTCCAGTGCCACTCTGAGTGACCTGGATGACATCACAACCCTGCCGGAGGGTCTGCTTTTTGACCTGCCGCTGACCCCGGAGGACGCAGGTGGAGATTACTGCAACCTGGAAATGCTTGGAGGAAGCGCAGGGAGCAGCTCTTCCTCTCAGAGCTCTCCAGAGCAGAGCAGCTTGGACTTTGTTGATGGCAACCACAGCATCAAACATGAGTACCAACTGTTGCATGATTCAGGACTCTTCTCTCATGCCATCCTCAACCCTCTGCCACAGGGCTGCTCCCTGCTGGAAATAGGTCAGCAGTTACCTCATTTGCTCTTTCTGGCTGTAAATAAATCCTTAAAAGTAGGGCTGCACAACTTAAAAGAATCATGCAATAGTGATATTCTTAAATATTTTGGTTTAGGTGTAATTTATGCCTGTTTGCTTCTTCCCTCACTTAAGCAACTGTGCTTTCTAAAGCATTTTGGGCTATGTCATTTATAGGCAGCTGTCAACTGGTTATGAAAATAGAAAAAGAAAATGTGTTCAGACCCTCTTGAAATGTTAAAATCTTTCTGAAGGATTCACAGATGAATATATAAATTCTACTTTCCTCCATTCAGAGCGTATAATCCAGAGTGTGGTGAAGTCCCATGTTGAAACAAGCCAGTACAGCACAGAGGAGCTGAAGAGAATGGCGTGGAACATCTATAACCCAGAAGAGACACGCTCATACCAGACTAAGGTAAGACTGGGACTCCGTCCTGTTCTTCATTGTCAGTAAGAAGTTTAAACACAACTGGTACCATGTGGTAATAAAGTGGAGATTGGAGAGCTATAAAAAAAAAAAAGCAGAAGTCTGCATTTGAAAAAATGTGATTGTCAGCTCTATATCATGAGTTGTTTCTTACTTCTACTTATTAATTTTCTTTTATTTTTTCCGTTTTTATTAATGAACACAAATTAAAATTAGTTCACATTAGAGTAAGAATTATTAATCAAAGCATAATGCACATCAGCAGGATTTATACTAGTTTTGTAAATTAACACCAGAGTGAAATTCGAAATAGCTACTCTATTAGTCAGGCTTCATTGCAAATGAGCTACATTCAAAGGCATTAATGAAACAGAACTTGTTTGTCAAGAACCACACCTCTCTTCTTTTTTCCTTCTTCCAGTCAGCAGAAGTGATGTGGCAGCAATGCGCGGTTCAAATTACCAACGCAATCCAGTATGTGGTGGAGTTTGCAAAGCGCATCTCTGGCTTCATGGACCTCTGTCAGAATGATCAGATTATTCTCCTTAAAGCAGGTCAGTGCATGATGAGAGTGAGCATCTCTCCAAGATAAGATCCCAGATTGTTTTGACAACAAAAGTCACTGTTATTACAGTATCATTACACTTAGATATGCTTAAGGCCGATTTAAAAACCAGTGTTGTGTTTAAATTTTGTTTTCCTTTTTCAATGTTTCTGTCTTATGAAACTAGGCATGTGTTTGGGTTTAACATCATTAGGAATACCACACTTTAACAGCACCAAAATATTTAGACAACTAAAAACATAGACGTGTTTATAAAGGTCAGACTTTCTTTTATTAAAAATGTTTTTTTTACCTACCCATGAATCATATTTTTATTATACTATAATGATTGTATTTATAGAGTTCTTTATTTTTCTTTGATTTTTAAGCTTAGACACCAGCTAAATGTAGAATATTTATCTAGCATATTTAGTAACAGTTTTCACCTTTTCCGCACTACGTAGAATGACATAAAGACAACAAGCTTAAAGTGGCTTGTTTAGTAGTTGAGTAATTTAAAAGGCATTTTTCTTATACAAACCTTTTCAGCGGCAATTACCAGAATAATACATTTCCAGCATGAAAATTTAGCTCAGTGAAAGGTCCTGATAGGGTGAAAATTCTTTTTAATACCTTTTTAATTATGATTTGGTGATATAAGTATGGTCATTTTAATTGAGCAATGTCTTGGTGGGACATATTCTTCATTCAGAGGGATACTTGAAACAATTTATGTTCTGAGATACATACAAAAATAACCACTGCCCCTGAGGATCTGGAACTGATTTTTAATCATCTAGAGTTAAGTTTATGGTTTATTTAACATTACTCAATGATAAAAAAAACCCTACAAAATTTTAAGTGATTTAAAAAAAATTGTTCCAAAGTGTTAATTAAGTGAAATGGTCACAGGTTTATATCTAGAAAACTGAGTTTCTATCCATACCAGAGCTGTCTTCCTTCCCCTGTCACTTAGAGAGAGGCAACACAGAATTTCTTCACAGCAACACCAGTGTAAACATCCCAGGACTTTGTTTTGATTCGACACGATTTATAATGGGCATTTGTTGTGACACAACCATTGCTTAAAGTTTTATTACTGTGAATATAAAATGCTTCTGTTTTAACTGAGCCAGAGTTCCACTCTGCAGCAGAGGGAGGTAGAGCCCACTCAGCGACCGCCCCTGGTCGAAAACAACGATGGTAAATCTGAGTTCCAGTAGAAAACCTTCAGGTTTTATACTAACAGCGTGTTGTTAGTAAGGCAAGGCCTTTCGTTACTGGGCAATATAAGACTTGCCTTGTAAGACTTACTTACAAGGCAATATAAGACCACAGATGTTTAGGGATAGGCAATGGTTAAAGAAGACCTCTGGGAGGCTGGTGACTACCTTTGTCGCAGGCTCACACTGGACAGGCTAGAAGATCGTTTTTAACATCCTTATATATTATATATTGTAGGCCACATTAAACTTTGTTTAACGAGTGCGAAAGTTTGATTGATTCCAGAATGGAAGGAGAGTTTTGCTACAGTGAAAGAGAGGGGACCTAATGGAAACAGGAACATAAACCTGGTTTGGAGGTCCAGTGCCAGGGTCCGGTTTGGACCACTGAGCCCTCAGAACTTGATGCTTTATTTCCCCACAATAAGGCCACAACAATGCAGGAAGGTTTGAATGACAGTTTAGATATTGGGTTCCTGGTTGCTGGAGTATTGCTTAGACAGGGTTTTCAGTGTTTTTAGAGACTGGACGGTAACAGATGATGAAGTAAAAAAGGGGAAAAAAACAGAGACCAATGTGATTGTCTAGGTTTCAGATGTTTTGCTTTTTGGAGATTCCTGTGGTCAGTCCACACAATAAAAGGAGTTTCAGCTCCCTACAACTAGTCTTCAAAAGCCATTTTTATGGCTAAGAGGTAATTGCACAAATCATTTCGTTCTGCTTGAGAGAAACAGCGGAAAAAGTGTGAGAACGGACTGCCCCCACCCCCAAATCACAGGCTTCAAATTCATGGACAAACAGATTCTCTGGATCTGGCTGAATCAAAATCAGAGCAATGGCAAACATTTTCTTGAGCTATGAAAAAACCCTTTTGGGTTCAGGTGACCAAATGAAAGGTATGGAGGAGGTCAGGCTAGTGAGGGGTTGAGTAGTTTCACTGTAGTTTTTAAGGAATCTGCAGTAGAAATTGGCGAATCCTAAAAACATTTAAGCTGCTTGTGAGTTAAGGGAGTAGACCAACTGAGAATGGCTTGAACCTTCTCTGGATCTGTCTTCACCTGCCCGCTCTCAAGAATGTGTCCCACATTGATGTGTTTGAAACACACACTTCTCTGCTTTGACAAAATGTTGTTTCTCTAGAAGACACTGTAGAACTTAATGCACCTGGACCTTATGTTCAGATAAGGTCCTGGAGAAAATCATCATTTTCAGTTTAACCTTTTTACCCTCCAGTGTGGCCTTAAAATATACCCACTGGAGCAGGAAATTATTTCTTAAATAAAAATAAGGTGTACGTAAGCAAATGAAAGCTTGTGCTGCTACTAAAAACTGCCACTCCTAGAAAACATTGAAAACTACTCATCCATGTACAAATATTTAAATATGTAAATTATCTTGAAATAGAGATAAGTCAAGCATTCAGAATGATAAACAAAAAGAGATACTGAATTAGTGCTAAATGATGTCTGATTGCTGAGGAATACTGACCATTTATATTTAAAATCCTGTATGACTGGACTGATTATAAAGTGTCACAGTTGCAGAAGTAATACATTTTCATTTTAGCTTTCTGGTCCAACTTGATCAGATTTAGGATAAATGAAGAAACTGGGAATTTAACAATTAAACAGTCTTATAATGTGCAAAGCCCTATGGAGGAAACACAGTCCTTCTAGGCCCTAATCACTTGCTTTCATATTATCTTTTCCTTTAGATATGCAGCAGTTCTTATCCCTCTAATGGCCTTGTTGCTAAAATAACATATATCATATTTAATAAACCTCTGAATTTTTTGGGGGGGAAATATAAGAATTAAAACACCAAGCTTTAAAGGAACCTAAGTTAAGCCAAGAACCTCAGAAATAAATTAATCAGTATTGTTATTCAAACAAAGCTGTACAGTTTATTCAGATCTTGTCAAAAAAAGTCATTTTTCTTAGCAGTGCATTTCCTTTGTCTTTGTGTCCACAGGCTGCATGGATGTTCTCCTGATCCGTATGTGCCGAGCCTACAACCCCATCAATAATACAATGCTCTTTGATGGAAAGTTTGCAAGTGCTCAGCTTTTTAAAGCTCTGGGTGAGTCAGCAAGTTGTTTTTCTTCCTCTTTCCCTGTCTTTCTCTCACATAAACAACTTGAAAGGGCGAGCAGGTGATTTGAGGTCATTTTTATTTATGTCAGAATATTTTGAAATGTTGTTTTGTTTTCCGTCTTCTCTCCCCCCTTTAGGCTGTGATGACCTTGTGAATGCTGTGTTTGACTTAGCGAAAACGCTGAGTCGTATCCAGATGTCAGAGGATGAGATGGCTCTGTTCAGCGCCGCTGTCCTGCTGTCACCAGGTATGATTGACACACCTAACCCTACATGCTTCCAGTAAATGCTAAGCAGTGTAACTGGTTCATACTGTTTGAATTAATGTTCAAAAGTATGCCATGCATTTATTTATCTAATGCATCAACTGACCTACAAAGATTATTGTGGTGCAGTTAAACTCAGCATCCATCGTAATTTCCCCGTCGTCAGTAATGCCTTGACGTAGGCACTGTCAGCCGTTTATCAGGCAGACACATTTATAGCTTCAGTGACACCGAATCTCTCCTGTGTGCTCACTGTTTCATTATTTCTATTATTTAGCATATGCTTAATCAACTGTGAGGCATGTTAGATAGAGAAAACAATATATAAAATCATATTATCAGGCAAAAAAAGCATCTTTGGTAATTTTTTGTGGCCAAGAACAATATTTATTCTGTTTTTGTAAGACAGTTAGGCATCATTTAGGGTTTATCAGTCTTTCTAAAGACTTCATTAAACATGGAAGTATGTTGCTGATTAGATTCCAACATAGATGTTTTTGTTCACCCCCACTATCATCAGCTGGAATGACTAAGCATCAGTTAACTGGTTCTACTTATAGTGGACAAACCAAGGGCCCAAAGTGGTTATAAAATATTTGTTACTACCGTATTTCATTCAGGCCCTCTTTCCTGTAAATCCAGCTACCTGGTTCACTTTTATTTGAGAAAACTGCAAATGTGAAAAAATTTTTTCAGGCATTTTAGGTAGAATGTAGTTATCGAAGATTAAGTGTTATATTTCCTCATAAGCTTTAATTATAAGGAAGTCATTTAGTGTTTCTTAAGGTGGGAAACTTCACTCTTATCTAACTAGTTCTTAAACTATGATCACAATTCATGTAAATAATTTACCGCCCAAACACATATTTCCACAATGAACTACTTTCGAATCATTCCTTGCTTTGACTGTATAATAACGTTTATAAAAAATATATAGGTCACACGGTTGTGTTCCAGTGAAGCTGTTATGTCACTGTGCAGCATTTGCTATTTGTCCGTAGCCAGCGTATTTGCATGTGTGTGCTCACACAGAGCATATTTTAATATTATCACACTTCCTGTAAAGCTGTCCTTGTTTATCTTTACAGGTTTTAATGTCAGAAGAATTTTTTTTAATGGGTCTTTAAAACTGAATTACTAAATCCATGTTTTTAAATTTGACCAGCAAGTTGTGATTATGCTTGAATTTTGCTCATCTAGCAAAGTTATCTGTGATAAAAAATAAAATCTCTGTTGCTATCGGGTTGTAGACACAGTTTGGTATAATCTAGTAGTTTTTATTTCTAACATTTGAGGCTCCAGTTTATCTAACTAAGTTTCAAGCAAAAGATTATTGAATGATGAATGATGAAAGATGGGTCACTAAGCTGCTAATTTTTTGGCTAAATGTAGTAACTTTTTAATGCATGATCAAATTAGTTTGCACTTAAAGTCTATCAGTTTACTACACATTTAACTGCAAACTAGGAGTTTGTTTAATATTACCAGCACTCAGTTCAAGCTCACCCTGTAAAAAAAGCAAAAATAAACTTCAAGAATTTTGAAGTTCCCAAAAAAAAAGGGGGGTTTCACATCGGGGCAGTCAGACCTGTAAAAAAAACAAAACAACAAATTGCATGAAGTCCAGTTTCATTAATTAACAGCGTCGCGCTCCTAAGGAATGCCAACTTAATGCATCCTAAAACTGTTTATAAATTATTCCCTTATTGGGGGTGTGGCGGCGGCCTAGTGGTTAGGGCATAGATCTTGGAATCCAGAGGTTCTGAGTTCGAGCCCTTCTCCCACAGACTGTCTCTCTGACTCCCTCAGCAAAGAGCCTTAACCCTACACTGCAAGAAGTTCTCCAAAAAAAAGGGGTTTCAAAAACATCCTCATTTAAAATAGACTCCTAGATATTTGAATATATTGAACAAAGGTAAAGTTAGGCTGTATTTGCAAACAGGATAGTAAATGACCTTCTGTCTTCTTCATCAGACCGACCTTGGCTCACAGATGTCCAGAAGATCCATAAACTGCAGGAAAAAGTTTATGTGGGTCTGCAGCGTTGCTTGCAAAAAGAAGGAGCATCTGAGGAGAAGCTAGCCAAGGTACAGAACTTTCCTGACATGGTTTTCAACATCAGCGCGTGACTGAGTTTTGAATTGTTCTTTTCTTATATAATTTATCTTCCCTTTTCTGTTCTCCCATCCTAGATGGTGTCGAAACTTCCCATGATGAGGTCCATATGTAACCTCCACGTAGATAAGCTGGAGTTTTTCCGCCTGGTTCATCCTGAGACAGCGTATGCTTTCCCTCCTTTGTACAGGGAAGTTTTTGGGAGTGAAATAACCTTCCCGGACTCCACCGAGGGCTAGTTTAGCCCTTTGACTAAATGCAGTGATTAACATAGCAACACTGAGGTGTATTTAGAGGAAGATGAAATTGTGGTAACTGTCATAAGGCTAAACCAACAAGCCCGGTGACAATCCTGCACGTTACACTTTAGCACACACTCCTCTCTCCTCTAAAGTCCAAATCCCGTGGAGTAGCTTTCACCGCCCTGCAGGCTAACCCTTTTAACTTGACACGATGGGATCTACTGCTGGGTTGTCAGTGCACGTTACCTCCTTTGTAAAGAAGCAAAGAAACCATTGAAGAGTGGCCTACATTGTTTATATTCTCAAAAATATTTTTCTATAAGGCACCTGAAACTGCTTGTTGAGTTGAATTCCTTATATGGCATGGATTTTGTTATTTTCACAGCTCCTGTGAGCGATTGTTGAATGTACCCCACTCTTCCTGTAACCATCCATGATATGCTAGAATGTACAAACCCGCAGTAGTCCTTACCCACGTCGGGAGTTTTGCAGCAATGAAGCCTGCTCCAGTCTCATGCAGAAACAGTTGTTTCATTGCGTACACCCTGTAGCACCCATACATTACTGTGTTTGTAACATGAACAAGCTAAAGGGACCACGATCAACCTCTGAAGCAGAAAGTTGGCTTTTGTTTGTTTTGTAAATCAAGTTTGAACCCAAAAACACATTAGAGCACAAAAACATAGCACTTATGCTAGAAACTGATTCGTTGTCTGTTTGAGCACGACGTTAGATGTCAGTGAACTGTGAGTTGTTGCTTTTTTTTATGTGATCAATGACCTCAGTCCAAATTCCTTTTCCCTTTTTTTTTTTTTCCAAATGCCACTTAGAAAGTGAGATTATTACAGTGGTATTTTGAAAGTATTTTCAGATGTACTTCTTTTATATATAAAATATATTTATATAAAGAACCATCTAAAAAAAGAAAGCAGAGTTTATATAATGCAAAGAATTTGAAGTCATGTTCTTTTGCTCTGGTCGTTTTGTCCACTGTTTGAATTTCTCAGAAAAGTACGATCATACCAGAAACGCGATAAAAAGAATGTGGTTATTTAGCACTTAAAAGTCGTTCTTGGGATCCCGATAAACCACACTAGCACAAGTAACAAGTTGCATGTTATTAATTGTCTGAGCAGAGCTGACTTCGGTTAGAGATGTCCACCAGTGCTACATCTCAACCCTCTATTTTTTAACAAGCTAAAACTCAACCAAGCAGAGTCTCAACCAAAATCTTCAAAGGCTGTGAATGAATGCACAAAGCTGAAAAGATGATAAACGATAAATGAAGGGACAAAGATGGATAAGGTGGTCAAGAGTACAGTGGTGATGATTAAGCTCCCTATGGCCTCTTTGCTTTGGGGTCAAGCCAATTCAATGTTTTGATCCGAGAACGATAGCTTGTATTCCTTATTTTCAGCTCCCTTACTACCTCAGCTTCCCAAAAACACTAGATGGCAGAGAACAGGGTTGACAGAGCCATCAGCTACCCCCCTGAGTTTATATCTATGTGTTTGCACATAGAGAGAGCCTCAAAAACAGTAAAATAATGCTTTTAAAACTGGATGAAAAGTAAATAAAACTTTATTTTTTTTGTGCTAAAGACATCGCTCTGACTGCTGGTTTGTTTATTTCAGAGCTCTATATGCCTTTAGTTCCAGGAAGCCTTGAACATACACAGATCTATCTCTTGTTAGATCTCTAGAGATGCCTGCAGGAATCATGAAAACTTCATTTGAAGTAGACGGCTGTATTAGATTTCTGTCAAACAATAAACCTTGTTGTACCAGCGGCTCAAAGAGGCTGTGAGAAATTCAATTAAATTACTATATTCGGAGTCCTAAGACAATCACATGACAGATGTTGGATGTTGTCTCTCTTTCAGAGTAATTTTTAAGCCAAGTTGGCTTAGCACTGCTGGGACAGTGCTGTTCACCGTTCATTGTTTCATGCAGCCCGGGGTGGGGGGGGGTCTCTCTTGTTTTGGTACTAAACATTCTGGGATTGTGCAATAATGTCCTTCCCATTGTTCTCGGTATGTCGAGCCTTACCAGCCGTCTATTACAGTTCATGTTTTTTCTAGCACTCCAGCGTAATAACCTCACAGCACCATGAATAATTGTTTTTATAGCATAAAGTACCAAAAACTTAACTTTGCAGATCAGATGATCCAGTTGCATGGCATTTACAGATTGTAAACAAAGTACATTGCTTTGTGTTTGAGTCCTGAGAATGTTAAATGTTAGCTCATAAAGAATTATGTGTATGTTGAAACAGTCCAGAGGGCAGGACCTATGATCTGCACTTTCATGTCCCTTTAGACTCACTCAGGGAGATAGCTGGGCTCTCTGTCCTACAGCGTCTGCAATTAGTCGAGCTAGCAGGAGACCTTGCACCAACATAAAAGACCTTTAAACCTTGATCACTGTGTACAGTACATGTTCTTGTGAATGTTTGATTACAGAAGTATCACAGAATTTTAGCCCCATGTCTGATATCATTGTTGCAAGACTTCTTTGTTGAAAACATAGATTAAGTAGGAGATGAATAAAAAATAATAAAAAAAAAACAACGGATTAATTATAATCTCTGAATTCTATGTTGGTTTTGTTGTGATCTTTTGTTTATTGATTTTTATCCCGTATTGTTGTACTGGTTTGTTTTTTTTTTGTTTTTTTTTTGCATCAGTCGATGTCCTTTTTCTCTCAGAGAGATGTGATTCTATTTTTTTTTTAAAGAGTTTTTAAAGATGTCTCTCTTAAAGGTTCTCTTTCGTCATCCTCCTGTTTATAATCTCACTATATTTTAAGATCATTATTGTTATTGAATCAAGATAGAGTTTATTATGGAATAATTTATGTCATGGTTGTAAAGCCACAGTGAAGTGTTGTTGCACAATGGTGATACTGTATGTGGATTTAAGAATGTAATAAAAGTCTTTTTAACAACTGTAAATCCTTCCTTTGATGTCTTTTCTTTGCTCTCATGCTAGGACTTGCTGTAATGCTAAGGCAAAGGTCTGATCGTTATTATTTTACCCTTTTCTTTTGCTTTACAGATTTCATTTTTTTTTCTTTTATTAACACAGACAACACCATAAGAGAGATTTACAGGATAAAATGATGAAAAGATTATTATAGTATTAAGTTATAAGATAACTTTTATTAATTAACCTTTTTTTGGAAAAATTAGTATCACAAAGTGCTTCACATTAAAGCATAAAGCAGACGCAGAATAATTAAAAAAGTAAACACTGCAAACCATTGAAATCTAAATAAGTAACATTTTCATAAAATAAATACATTTCTTTCTTCAACTGAGCAAGTAAGCAGGCCAATTTGTCAATGGAATACGACAATTAACATTTAAAATGAGGGAAAAAAACAACTGTAATCTCTTATTTCAAGTGCATAATATCTAATTATATTATTTTAAGGGTAAAAATATTAATTTCTCTAGCCGATCATCTTGTTTACCTACTGAAATTAATGGTAAATACACAAAAAAAATTTACATTTTTTTATTGTTTTTGCAGTGAGATGTTTTGAGTGTACTGTTATAATGATTAAAATTACAATAATTAAAGTAAGGAAAATAAACTCCAGAGCAAGAAACTATTGCACAGGAACTAATATAAAAGCCCTTTTAAAACAATGCATATTTAGCTAGTTTTTAAAAGGCAACTGAATCCGTAATGGCGGAGATATTTACATGATTCTGGTGTGCTCAGAAACAAATGCTCTGTTTTCTTTTGTCTTTTGCCCGGTATGCAGCATTAACAGTCAGGCATTGCTCACCTGGACTACAAATACCTTCAGGAGGTATAAGGATTTAAAAGATCAATGCTGGGACTTGACCTTGTAAAGCCCTAGAAACAACTAGAGCCACAAACTTAAAATGTATTCTGGAAGTAATGGGCAGCTTCACCAGCTGCCCATTACTTCCAGAAACGAAGCTGGGTGACATTAGTGTACTTAGAAAATGCAAAAAAGCCTTGTCCATCTATCTATATTTATATTTCAGAGAGGATAAAAGCTGGAGCGATTCAGAGACCCAATGTGAAAATCAAAAGTAAAAGCGGAATTTCAATCAGCAGCACAATTGTTCCAATTTTTTTTTTTTTGTTTGTTTAAAGAATACATTGATATTTGTATACATAGTACATTTCGTTGGACAAACCAAAACTAAAATGTGTGAGAGATGTCAGAATAAGTCAAAAGAATCAATGACTTAACTAAATCCAGGATGGATTTTTATTTCTTAAACATGAAGGATGTAAAACAAACACTAAAGGTCTGCAATTTTTCATTAAGATATTCTTTATATTTAGAAACTCTGACATAGCTTACATAAAATGAGTGTGGCTTAATAATTTTAGTGATCATATTTACAATGCAACTCCAAGCACTTAATAATAATTTAATGAAAGATAAGTTACATAACAAGGTGGAACTTAGTCCAACTTGGATCATTACTGACCATGATAGGTTAAAGGTTATTCTCTGAAGCATTTTGAGCTCCTTAAATTATTACACCACTTAACACGATACTTCATCTAATTACCTGATTACAAAATCCAAAAGAAGTAGAGGGATAGGTTTGAAGTCCAAAGATATAGAAGAACATTCTTATAGTGGATGCTAGAAACTAAAGTATTGTTTAATAAATGCATGTTTTTTCTTTCTGTACTTATCTAATAATATTTATCTAAACATCCTTCCTTTGTTTATAGCTCTAGTCCTTGCATCCCCAGCAGTCCCTGAGAAATATGCTTCCCAATAGGCTTTCCATGTAAGCAGAGGGAGAAATTGCAATGTATGCAGAAAGATTCCTGGCCTGGATTCAAATTCAGGACGTTCTTACTGCAAAGCATCAGTGCTACATACTCTTATCAGTAGAATAGAATAGAATAGAATAGAATAGAATAGAATAGAATAGAATAGAATAGAATAGAATAGAATAGAATAGAAAATCCCTTTTATTGTCCCACAATGGGAAAACGCTGATGTTTACAGCAGCAAAAAAGATTATGGAAAAAATGGTCACACAAATATGGAACGTAGAAAAATTTATAAGAATCTTTGAAAATGTATGAGTATAATAATAGTGAAGAGTTAAAATATCTAGTAATAATCATTATTATTACTAGTTTTATTCCTAGGTTAAGGACAACAAATATATTTTTCTAGAGGTATAAATATTCTAAAATAAAATATCTACGTACAAATAAAGGTATTATAACCAAATATTTAGGGTTGTACTACTGCTACCATTGCAACCCATAACTGCAGCCTCTGTAAAGTACCGGTGCTTGCTAATTGTATCCAGCAGGGGGCGGTGTGGTTTAATTTCTTAAAATCATTGCGTCACAAACGTTAACGCTGTTAAATTAATATGTTTAGTGTTCGGCAGAGATTTAGCCAAGACGTAAAACATAGAGTGAGTTTAGGATATTAAATCGCTTATTTTTAAGATAATTATTGGTTCGCTATCGGGGACTCTGGCAGGAGTCGCGCTCACTGTGGACGTGGTCAGCTGGCGTGTCCCGACTTGGAGTGACGGCCCAGTAAACCTATGATCCCCCCCCCCGAAACATTAGATTTTTTTTTTTTTCGTTTCTGACTAAGTGTAAACGTTAACTTTTTTTCCCCTTTATCTTGACCTGTTTACACGGCCGACAGTAGAAGAGCAGGGGACGGTCAGCTTCCAAGATGTCTGTGGCGGGTTTGAAGAAGCAGTTTTATAAAGCCAGTCAGGTTTGCAAAACTTTTCTTACCGTTAGCGCGAGCAGCTAGCTAGCGGCTTGTAGCATAGCAAGCTAATGCTCAGAGCCAAGCTAACACTGCTTCGTTTATTTAACGGTGGATGTTGTTTTTCTGACAGCTTGTTGTTTAGTTGTGTGAAATGTTTAAATTGCTCTTGTTTTCTCTCAACACTAAATCGGCGAGCGTAAAATGAAGCGAGTTCCCCTTAACTCACAGTAGACTGACTGGTTGATATTGCGTTGTCTGCCCTGTAATTATTTATATAAAATGGAAACATGATTATTTATCAACAAATTATAGTGAAATAAAGTTGTTTGCTTAAAAAAGAGGTAAATGGTCTTTAGTTAAAAAGAAAACAAGACGAGGGAGTCGTGAAAATGTGTTTTTTGTGACTGCCGTTTGAGTAGTAAAATATTTTCTCCAACTATGATCATATTTTAAACTCAAATATCAAATCTTCTGTTTTTTTTTTTTTCAACGATTAGAGCGTCTTAATAAATACTTGCGTACTTCTAAAGATAAAAAAAAATGCTCCTCGGTTTCTTGTCTCAGCTTTATTGTGAATGTTTTTAATTTGGGGCAACTCTCCCAGTCATGGGAGGAGACTGTTTAAAAAGATTTTTTTTTTTTGTCTTTTCTTCCAACCCCTGCTGATCTAAGCAGGAAAATACATTTGGTGTCTGCCTCAGCATCCTGCCAAGAACAAACCCAGATTCCTGTAGTAGATGGTAAATAACGTCATTTTAGAGGCTGTGTTGTACAACTGGACTGTTCATGGTGAAACTGATTAGCAGAAAAAAAGACATCAAATAGATCAGGGCATGAGAATTGACCCAAATGATGGATGTAGTGGAAGAAGGCTGGACAAAGTGTGCCTTCCCTATTATTTCACTGCATTGCAGCGACTTTGCTTGCCAAAACTCCATTCGAGGCAATAACACTCCCAATAGCTCAGATTGTATTCACATCAGGAATGCAGGAAGTTGGCTGTGGAAATGATAACTTTGCTCATATGTTGTTTTTTTTCTCTCTCTCTCTTTTGTTATCTCTCTGTTCCTTTTAAGATAATAAATATCGAACCTGAAATGTCTCTCTTGGACATAAAATCATTACTGGATGTGAATTCCAAGTAGGAAGGCAAGGGAATATGTACCGATGTTTAGTACAAGATAACCAAACATGTCATCTGTTCTGTGACATGAAATTGTTCTTATACAAAAACATATGGAGAATATTGTTACATGGCAGGTTTTGGACTTTTTCTCTGTGTTTAATACTTGAAAGATAGTACTCTTCACCACAAAAGATATCAAGTAGATGGAATTTATAGATGTAAAAAGCAAGCAAAATTATGTGGTCTGTATTAGTGTACTGTATAATTACTTGTAAAATGTATGTCATATTGCAATATTAGAAGGTTTATCTTACGTTTAGTGATTTTTAACATTAACTGAAACAAAACTGTAATTTCTATAGCATTTAATTGACTATTTAGAATCACTTGTATTTAAGACCTGACAAGTTGTCAAAAAGTACGCTTCCATAGCAAGTTCTCTTTTCATTATTTCTATTGTGACATGAAGATCATACCAGGAGCTAAAACAGTTCAATCTGAGAGGATTAGTTTAGATTAAATTTAGCTGGGGACTTGATTTGGTGCTAAGCTGGTTTGCAGGATCCAGACAGGGTGAGGGCTTCCTACAGAGTCAGAAGGGATAATGATTTCTAGCTTATAAAAATGTTAAGAACATTTAAAAAGGTTTTCACTCTCACATTTTGCAGATTGCTTTCCTTCTCGTGTTACCTTTTTATTGTATGTTTTGGATTCCTGGTCAGAACTGTAATGGTAGATTTCCTAAACTACATATTTGCAAGCATAAAACTGAATGAGAATCACACAGTTACACTTGTAAGAAAAAAGTTTCATATACTGTACCTAGAAATTTTACATATTTTAAAGGCATGAAAGGGGATTTTGTGGTGGGAGATATGTTCAAAGGCTGTTTGTGTATTTTCGAATTGTGAACATGCGTCACTGTCCCCTCCTTCGCAAAAGTTCTCTACGCTGGAAACGCCTCTGCTGGTTATTTTGTATTTCACCTAGAGAGGCAGCAAAATACCAGGATGAACCTAGTCAGCAGGAAATCATAAAAAGAACAGGTCTCCGCCGGCGTCATCACTGCAAGTTATATTTACAATTTGTTGGTGTGTTCTTGCTGCTGCATGTTTCATAATTTTAGAAAATACAGTACTTACTACACAATGAAACATTATTTACCTGTCCAGCAAAAGTTTTGCGACCAAAGCATCTGTTTTCAGACCCTTTTGCTCCTGTAGGGCACGCCATCTCCGAAAACAATCTCCTGTACACATGCTTTCCCAGTTCCGTTCTCTCCCACATCCTCTTTTCAACTACATCAAAAATAAGGCTTTCTTTTACGGTTAGGTTTGTCAGGATTATTTTAGGTCATTGATGCTCAAGTTTCCGCAAAACAGTAAACAAATCGCTAAAATAAAAGTCGCAGCAGTAAACAGGCGTAGGAGTACATCTTCATGCTTCAGTGTAATGGCGGACTGCTAGCGAAACAGTGTATGAGTCACACTTGGTGTCTACGTGAATAACATACTGGGGGCACGTACGCAAAATGTTTGATTAACAAACAAGTAGCCAATCCACTTTCGACAGTAGACAAAATAGATTGGCTAATGTTTTGTAGGCCCCATCACTGCCAGAGTTTGTGGATTTCAATAATTTTGTGGGGGGGTCCATAAGAGCAAGACTGCCAGCCATCAATTAAGTTATTTTAGATTAATTTGGACACTTAATTTCTGAGAAAAATCCTCTTTGATACCTTAAGTCGCTGTGTTGACATTTATTGGCTTGACTGAATATGTTTTTATGATATCTGAAATATATTTCTTCCAAGTCAAAATAATACAAGTAACAATATGGGGATCTGGAATTAATTTCTAGACATCCAGAATCTTTACTTTAGATATGAAGAATATCATTTTGTTTGAAATTTTTGATTTGATAAGGTAAGAAATGCCTTTTAAATACACATTAAGACAAATATAAAAATGTTTTGCCAAAGCCAGTTTTAATCACTACAAAAACCTAGTTTACTGATTGAAAGTGGATCAGTGTATCTCTTGAGGTCTAATCACCAGTCAGCAGGTGAAGATAGAATAGAAAAATGTTGTTCTAACTGGCAAGACTTGTGCATCATCTCATGGGGTTCCTCCTCATTTTATTTCTGTCTTCCATTGCACAGTAAATACTAAGTGTCTGTTTCGCTGTACAGTTGTTTTCCATAATGCTGTTATCACACATCAGTGTGCTCTCACTGATATCATGTTCTGCTAAATACCTGTTAAAGAAGTCTGTGTACTGCTGTAAATGTGAGAACAGCTAAGGTTCTTGATGTATGTGAAATAATTGCATTCACAAAGAAAACTTCCTCAATATAAAGGACATCTATACGCAGTCTAAGAACCCTCTCCCTGTAAATGTTTAATTCTCTGTGAATTAATCCCGCTCATTCTTCAATTGGATCCTCATCAAAAGGACATGCTTTGATGGTGTTTTTGACATCTAATATCTCTAATGAACCTAGTGAATGGTTTCATTTTATTGTATGCGCAATACTAAGACAGAACTCTCCTGACTAAATACAGAAATAAAGCAACACAATTTGCTTTAGGGAGGGCAGAGACAGAGGAAACCCTTAGTTTATTAAGGAAAACCTGCTCCCAACCAGGTTAGTTCTGGGGAGAATATTACTACAGTAATTGAGACAGAGGTTGAGTAGACTCTCTTTGTGAAATGGAAAACTCGGTTTCCCTGATTCCAGCTTTTAGAAACCTTACAATTTTCAGTAAACCTGCTTGTGAAATGGGCCTCTGGCCATGTTTTTGGAACAACATCCAACCTCTGTGCGCTAAAAATAGTTCTTGATTATAGCATCTGTGTAAGATGCAAAAAACAAAAATGCAAATGATGGTTTGTGGGCTTATTGGTGCGATTGTATCAGTCAGCTTTTAGATGTGAGGTCATCTGGAACCTCTACATTTTTTTACTCTTAGCATGATCAATACATTTCAGTATCACTTTTATAATGGACTAGGGCTGGACAATAATCCCAAACAATATAGTGTATATTCTATATAATTTTTAAAGGATGACCCAATCTCATATTGATTTCGGATATTGGGCCGATATCAGGCAAAAAGAAAAAAAATGGATTACATAAGCCTGCACTTAAACTCACTGATAATGCCGGTATTGTGATAAAAATACTTTGCTTTGTCTTAAAGGGAAACACCGTCTTTTTTTATTTTTTATTTTTTTACATTGGGCCCTTGATTTTACGTTGGTACATCAAGTTCTACTCACCCATATGAGTTTTGTGTAATTTGGAGCTGTTCTGAAGATATTCGGATAGGTTATATCCAAGTAACGTCTTCCTATGGGCAAACAACTTTAAGGCACAAACTAAACTGTTCATAATTTATCATTTATGGTACGCCAGCATTCATAACATGTAGGCGAATCACTGTCCCCCAGACATCCGCTGTTATATTTTTTTATATTTACATCTTTTAAAAACAAAGCGGCGCGTGTATGACTTCATCCGTGCGTGCCGGCTACCGTTCATTCATCCTGTCCGCTGAACTGCTGCTAGTTTTACTCACATGCCTGGAAGATGTCTAGTGCTACTACCACAGATGATCTCGCTCTCGAAATGGAATTGAACTATTCAAATTAGCTAGCCGAATGAATAGAAGGGGTAGAGCGTAGCTACCTGTGGCCCGGCTGCCTGTCACAACTCCAGTCCGGCGCACGGATAACGAGGATATTTTTGGCAAATATCCTCATTGAGTTAGACATTTTATTCACTTGGTTTCTGCAAACTGAAAGCATCCAACGCAGAGATAACATTAGAAAGCTGCAGCCTAAATCTGTTATCACCACGTTTGTTAAAACAACGGCTCCATCCATGGTCACAGTTCTGGAACAGAGACTTGACTTAAAGCTGAGGATGACCTGGTTTCTACAGCAAATTATAAAAGCCACACAAAGACCTGACTAACAGAACATTTCAGGAGGCTCATGTTTTTTTACTGAAGTGCAATAAGCTTTACTGAATGTCAAATTATTTTTTTTACCTGAAAATGCTTCATATGTTTGGACACTTTAGCTTTTTAAGCTTGTGGTCCGGTTGTTATTACCTCCAGACATCTCCTTTTTTCAGGTGCTGCATCAGCATAGCTCATTCTTTTCAGTATTCAGCTTTAATAGTCTTATTTCATCTTCTCTACTATTTTCCATAATCGTCTCTCCCCTTTTTTGCGCATTGTAACTTCTGTATAATGTTATCCTGTAGTTATTTCAGAAGCTTGTTCTTTGTGAGCTTTAAGCCACTCGGAGTGTTTTGGTTGTCCTCCCTGATCTCTAAATTTGCTCTCTGTAAATCAGCTCTGCAGTGTTTGTCAACTGAGGAAACAAGAATTCGATCAAGCTTTGAGATAATGTAGAAGTATTTTAGTAACACACTGTTAGGCAGATAAAAAGGATTTCTGTTGCACATTAATCTATCTTTGTAACGCTCTGATTTGTTTGTATGAAAACATCGACCACAGATTTGTGTGGGTGCTTTTGTGCTGCATTTCATGGCTTTAGTGTGCAGATAAGTAATACTTTTACTGAGTTTCCCCTGCAACTTCTCTTGTGACCTGAATCTGTCAATGTCATATGCTCTCGGGAACGCAGCAGAAATACAGGAATGCAGAGTGGAAATATCAGCATAGTGTTCTTTTAATTACATTAAATGGTGGACATTTAAAATGATAATCTCAACCTCTTTGATTATTGCTAAATGTGTTAATTATTATCAACAAACCTATGTTCTCTTCCTTTAAAACATCAATATATTAATCTAAGAAAAGGAACAATATCTCTAACTGTGAAATGGATGTGTGCAGTAAACTATGTCAAAGTTTATCATTATCTGAAAATATTGCGTAACACATCCTAATGAAAACATGTCCTCCCAGGAAAAGCTTTTATAAATCCTCATGGAGTTCAAGCTCTTAGATTATTGTTAAATATTTATAAGAAACTGTATCCCCAGAAGGTGTGAGTGTTATTTCTGTTTTGCTTTACATTCTCTCTTGCGTTTTAGAAACATAAACCACATTGTGTAGACTACAGGTGTTGTTCAGTGTTATATTTCCTGTTCACAGCCACATCTCATCTTTATTTGGTCAGCTTGAGTAGTTTCCCGTAGGAGAGGAAATTTTAATGGTAACACAGGTGGTGGTTAAAAGAGCAACCCAGATCTGTTTCAACCTGTTATTTGTGGGTTGTTTTTTACTCTGGGTTTAGATATATTGTGATTTAGATTTATTGTGGAAAGTAAAGCAAAAAACTGTCACTGTGGATGGGTGGATTTTGTTGATCAGATCTAAAGAATGATAAAACAAAAGACTGAACTGTCAGGATAATCAGATGTGGAGTTCTCTCAAGATAGCATTAGTCAAGATAGCAAAGATGATTTAGGAAAGTTTTCTCTAAAATTTGAATACAAGGATGTTTTACAATATTTTCACAGGAGAGAAGCAATAAGATATTCCTTTCAGATTTGGATAAAAGTAGCCAGGTTAACTACTCAAAGATTTTTTCTTTTTTATGGGCTGCATTGGCAGTTTTTATGTGTTTTGCTACAATAATCAGTGGTAGCTTACATTAAGCTACGCGTCACGATGCAAAAACTCAGAGGCTACATTTCCATATTCATGAAGCACTTCTGTCTTTTTTCTCTCAGATCAAAACCACATAAGCGATATTACTTAGCTTGCATTTTTATTTTCTCTCACCCCCCCCTTTCACATCTTCTTCTCTAGATGGTGAGTGAGAAAGTTGGTGGTGCAGAAGGAACCAAACTAGATGAGGACTTCAGGGACCTGGAACGGGTAAGAGACCTATCAAAAAGTAGGAGTCAAAGTTGTGGAGCTGCACAAGTAAATGTTTTCATTAAAAACGTTTTCTTCTATGGTTATTTAGTGGCCTTAAGGCTGATTTATACTCAGAAACTCTGCCCCTGTCGCAGACACTCTGCTGTACCTCTCCAAAATTGTCGATTACCGCAGACAGTGCTGCAGAAAGGAGGGCTTTGATTGGTCAAATCTACATCCGTTCTACACTATGCGTATTTCCTGTTTAGTACCTTACCGGCTTGTTTTGTTTGTATGACCGCCATGGTGGAAAATGACTCGTTAAGATGGACCAGCTAGAAGTGCGAGGTGTGCGAGAGCGCTGGGACCCTTTTTCCACCTGGATCCCTGCTCTTTTTCACCCTCATGTCCCCCTGTTGTCACACAAATTTGACCTCCTCAACCGTATCTAGACCCACAGCTAGTTCACGATTGTCCATCTTGCATTGTGGCGTGGAATAACAACGCAGACCACGCTTCAATATTGGGCATGAATAAAAAATATCTGCGACAAGCTCACTGCGACACACTGCTGCGGGAGGATAACCAGCCCTTTAGACAAAAGTGAAAATTACCTAAAATATGGTTGTTAACTGGACCAAAGACCTATAATTTTAAATGTTTAGAAAAAAAAATGTAATAAAACATGTTGCATAAGGAATAGTCTCTGATTTGCTAATATAAACGTTTTTTTTTTTTTGCTGGTTATGTTTGGGTTTTGAATTTTAGTCTAGACACACCACCTAGTTAAAGACATAGCATATTTTAGCATGCTTTGAAGAAAACTCCTTCTTAAATAAAAGAGTCAGTTTTAAAGTTTAGGTGTCACCATAAACATTACAGCTATGTTAATGTTACTAGCATATTAGTATTTTTTAATTATTAAAAATGTTTTAATATATTTTTTTCCTTGTTCTGTTATATTTGACAAGTAACTGATGCAAACTGGGATGTGTTCTTTACAGAAGGTTGATGTGACCAGTAAAGCAGTAGCGGAGGTTATCTCCAAAACATCGGAGTACCTTCAGCCCAACCCAGGTAAGAAGACAAGTCTGGTATTTGTGTGTTTACCTAATTGTAAAATTTCTGTTAACGTCGTCCTCACCTTTCTTTTAAAGCATCTCGTGCAAAACTGTCCATGTTGAACACCATGTCTAAGATCCGTGGTCAGGTGAAGAACCCAGGATATCCTCAAGCTGAAGGGCTGCTAGGAGAATGTATGGCCAAGTATGGACGGGAACTTGGAGAAGACACTAACTTTGGTGAGATATTATGTTTTCTGCTATAACGCCGGGCTCACACTGAATACAGTACCGCTGTAGCACTGGTAGGGTAAGGAACCCAAATCCTTAAAAACTTACACTTACATCAGCCACTGTGCGGTGAGAATCCAATTACATGGACAGGGACAGTACTTTGCTTCAGAAAATTCTACAATAGACAAGTTTGGCCAGATACTGTAGCACCAGGCAGGGCTGCTGAATGCACTGATGAATATGCAAAAGCATGCACTTATCAGCTGATACAAGAAAGAAGCGCTAATATTGGTGGGCTGATGTAGTGTGAATGACTTTTTGAAGCAGACTGCGTACGTAATCGGTGTAAGCCTAGAGTAAATCCTGGGCAGTGCAAATACTGGTGTTTATATTTATTACTTCCACAATTCCAAAAAAGGAAAAAAAAAGCAATCCACTGGACTTTGTTTCCAAGTTTCAAACTTGGAAACAGAGTCCAGGGGATTGTTTTTTAACTTTTTTGGAATGGCTATGAACCGTATAACTGAGAATCTTCACCAGCATACTGCCAAAATGTGCCAAGTAGATGTGCATGTGTCCTGTTTATGCGTCCTGATCATTTATGTGTGCAGCCAAACTACCAACTCGGCATCTAAAAGGTTCTTTTGGTCTATTCTGTTCCGAATTCATGCTTTGGTGATTTAGTTTTCGCTCATTGAAGCTTAAACTGAGAGACTTGGGCTCTCTGTTTTGTTTTTATTCTAATATTACAAATCATGACCAAATGTCAACCATCTGTTTTATCCAGGTGCTGCTCTAGTAGATGTGGGAGAGGCAATGAGGCGGTTAGCAGAGGTCAAAGACTCTCTAGACATCGACGTAAAACAGAACTTTATTGATCCATTACAAACTCTGTGTGACAAGGACCTCAGAGAGATACAGGTATGCATATGCTTTATGAAAATGTATATTTGATAAGGTCTTCAGACAGTAAAATGCAGCAGCTAAATTGTATCTATGCACCACTTCAGCACCATCTGAAGAAGCTTGAAGGCCGTCGGCTGGATTATGACTACAAAAAGAAGCGCCAGGGCAAGATTCCTGATGAGGAAGTTCGACAGGCCCTTGAAAAGTTTCATGAGTCAAAGGAAGTGGCTGAGACCAGCATGTACAACCTGCTGGAGACTGATGTAAGCACTTCTTTCTGTTAAACCATCAGTGAAAGGTTGGAGCCACATCCTAAAGTCTAGTTGTTTTTAAACTAAGCCTAAGTCTTTATTTAATTAGTCATTCTCCTAATAAAGTACCTCATATCACAGTGTTAGGAGGGACACATTCAAGTAGTGGTGTTTTGGGCTGATATCGCAATTTCATTTGTATTTTACTGCTTACAGTGAGTCATTTTACAGATCTTTTGAAACCTGAACCTTTTTATTTTATAAAATAATTTGCTACTCTGGTACAAGGTTATATTGTCTGTCCTGTTCTGCGTTACGTGGCTTTTTCAAATACATTTACATCTTAAGAACAAACAGAAACTCTGTTCATTGCATCTATAAAGGTTAATCAAACACACCTGTTCAGTAGTTTAAATGCAACATTTGGTGATGATGAGGTTTATTGTTGTGTGGTGCCACAACACATTGTAGGGTCAGGATTTATACTAAAGGATGGATGGCTGAATATAGATGTGTAAAAATATATTTTATCATTTATTTTTTTAATCATCACAACCAGTTGTTTAAGAATGGTGTTTTGTTGATACTAGGTCTCAATCTGACACTATGAGTGTACCAGAACTGACATAATGCCAATATTGCAGCTTTGAGTACTGACTGATAAAAATTTTAAACTGATATGACATCAACATAAATTAAACATACTTGTATTACTTAATTTGCCCTGTTAAATGTAAGAACAGGCTTGATCAAGATCAGTAGTACACAGAAGGAACAATAATACTAGGTAGCACTATGCAGTCCTATAGATATTCGAAAGTGGGCAACATTTTACTGCAGTTGATTACCCAATAGGTTACCTCACAGATTTCAGCACCCTGTTCAACATTACTTAAAGTCTGACGTTAGCTGAATGTTGCTCTCCAGACCAGGAGTTCCTCCTGTTGATGAAAATAATCTTGGGACTTCAATTTTAGCTTCGCTTTGACTATAAAAATACTCTTTTACTTAAATTTTATATAAACACTTGTTTTTATGCAAAAGATAAGAAAAGAAAAAAAGAAAATAAAATAGTTGCTCTATATGATCTTAACATTCAACTCGCCTGTATCTGCAATCTTAGTGCTCCATGTGGAAAGATCATGTAGCTGGTGTGTATGGTATGTGTTAATGTTTTACAAGACTTGATGGGTTTTTTTTTTTTTTTGTCTGTATATATAGATTGAACAGGTGAGCCAGCTTTCATCTCTCGTCGAGTCGCAGCTACAGTACCATAAACAAGCGGTGCAAGTGCTGGAGGAGCTTTCTGATAAGCTGCGTGACAGGTTTGTGCAGAAAGCAAATCCAAAGATATCCAAATGCATAAGTGATATGTTTTCCATGCAGCTGTGCTCTGAACCTATTCCAGTCTACAACTTAATCATCCACATCAAATTTGATCTCATTATGCTCATTTGTATCTAAAATGGTGATATTTCTTTGAACAGGATGACTGAAGCTCAGTCTCGACCAAGACGAGAGTACACACCTAAACCCAAACCCATCTTTGACTTTGGAGAAAACAACCACTCCAATGGAGGTTACCCATCCTCAATGGCGCCTCCTCCTTCACGCAACTCTGGTAAGATGCTGATCACATTACAAATTTGAAATTATTTGTTGAAAATTTATTTAAACGGTAAAACAAAGATCCCCAGCTATAAATCGTCAAAAGCGAAACCTCAGCTGTTTCACTTTTTTAAAACCACAATGAAATGTCATCATGTTAAATCTGTAAAAAAAAGATCTGCCTCGCTAGAGTTCTACCAAAAACTAGACATTTAACTCTGAGTTGAAAAAGCTGTGCAATCTTGCAGAAACACACAGAGCCCTCAGTACCTTGCTGGCATTATTGATCAACAACTGCACACCAGTAAGCAACATGAAGCCACAGGAGAAGTGTAAAATTCCTCTTTCCTGTTTTTCCTACATAGTCTCATAAAGGCTTTTATTGATGTTTGACTTATTCAGTGTTGAAATGACATCACTTAGCTGTTGACCAATGTCATGGTAAGAGGTTGTGGCTGTGTGTGTCCCGCCCTGTTATCTGGCTGGCCTTTCTCCTGCTGACCTTGTTCCTCTTTCCTATGACATCAGCAGAACGGTCCTTTCTCTTTGCAACATTGTCCTTTCGGAAACCGGGATTGTGTGAGTCACCCACTGTGTGTCCAAGTTGCAGCCTTGGAATGATTGCATGCGTGTGTGTGTGAACAACACTCTGATAAGATTTTCAGGAAGCAGATGCTTTGCGGCAGTGATGGGTGTTTTACATGTGTCTTATTTAACAGAGTGTGGTTTTGCTTCAACCTAACGTCATATCCGGTCTAAACCAACTACATTTCCACAATGGGTCTTTTTTTCAGTTTTATGAACTTGGCTACCTGCACTAATTGTTCTCCTAATGTTATATGTGAATGTTTCTTTTAATATTTGATTTAAGTGGTGTTCATAAAATTAACCATACCCAACATCTCTTCTAACGCATCTTCAGCTACTTAGTCCTAGACGCCTGGTACAAAACCAGGTTCAGATTAGGGCTGCAACTAACGATTATTTTAAAAATCTATAAATCGGCCGATTATTTTTTCGATTAATCGATGAATCGGACAAAAAATATTTTTTTATATTAACCTCTTTATTTCAAAATAAACATTTTAGACAGAACAAACA